GGTGCGTCTCTCTGTGTGTGGTGGCCCATGTCTGGTTCGACCTGTGTGGCTCCACATGGGTGGCCAGACAACACACACACAAAACACACACAAAAAAACAGCAACTTACCCATCCTCCTTGCTGTCTGATCCAGGCAGAAATGTGTTTCTTCATGAACTGTAAAAACCAGCTAATGATGTTCTTGATAATCTCCAAGTGGTTCTGAGTCAGAGCCCCTGTTCTAGCGAAAATAGAAACGGTTTCTGTTTCGTGACACCACAGCAGATGGTGAAGACAAAAAACTCCTTTAAACATGATGGCTTTTATAGCGCATCGCTTCTACTTCAGACCCAGCGTAAATCTGCCTGCCCTGAGAAGTGTTTTTATTAATCTAATGAGGGCTGCAGTCATCACTCCCAGGACTCCAGCTGCTCGTTTCCCTCTGCTTTTTAACTCCTCAGACAGAAACCACTGGATGCTCAGATAGCAGAAAAGCTCCTGTCAGAGAAAGATAACACTGCTCTCTCTCTCTCTCTCATCTATCCGACAGACACAGTGTGTGAAAATGAATGACTGCAGTGGTGCAGTGGAGAGCTGATTCAGAGTCTTGCGTGTATCCAGTAGAGAACTCAACAGCGTCCCTTTAATAATTCAGCACTGGCTTTAAAAATAACCCATAGTGCTTTGTTTTCGGCCATGCGAGCGAAGCGCTCCCGTTTTCATCAAAAAACAAAAATCCCATCAGCGCTAAACACCATATCAAGAGCTCGAATTAATAAATCATACAGGTCAAACGCATGGAGGTGATTATGAAACATGGAGCACGGGAGAATTTCTACATCGTGTGTATATTAGTTATATACTAATATGCAAAACTCCCTTTTATAAGGGATTGTGTGGCAGCAGAGTGTGAATATAACCAGCTTCTCACAGTAGAAATGTATTAATGTTCGTTATTTTAAGCACACTTGATATAAACAGCCTGCAGAAACACTCTGATTGACATTCTCTCTTTTTATGACGTCATCAGAGGGGAAAAGCCCCGCCCACCCGTGACCATCTCTCCCTCATTAGCATAGGAGGTTAGCCCTGCTTTTGAATCTGCCACTATGCTGACACACAGGCATTTATAGCTCCGCCCTCTTTTAAAAAAGAGCACCATCTCATTTGCATTTAAAGCGACAGTCACCAAAACGCCACAATTAGAATCAAAGCCTACACGGGGCAGTTTCAGAGCGCTAGAGAACATTATTAGTGTGGTATTTTGAGCTGAAACTTCTCTGCACACACTCTGGGGACTTGTTGTAGATCTTGTAAAACGGGGAATAATAGATGCCCTTTAATGAGATATTAGGGTAACACTTTATAATAACTACACACTATAAATCATTTATTAAGCATTAGCAAATAGTGAATTCATTATCTGTTAAGCGTTAACTCTACATTAATAAGCGTTAGTAAGCAGTTTATAACTGCAGCTACAAATGCTCATTTCTTGACTTATAAGCACCTATATAATGTGTTTAATGATAATTTTCATATACTTAATTATTTATTTTTCATAACTAAATTAGTATCGAATTATTTACAAACTGTTTGTATTTTAGAGTAGTTGAGGGTTTTCAGGATCATTCAGAATGAGTTAGTAAATGATTAATAAAATATTAAAATTAAAATTTTTAATTCTTATTATTCAGGCATATAGTAATAGTTAACTAATATGTTAATAAATGCTTTATTAACTCAACATTATGCAGTTTTGTGACCTAATCTAAAGTGAGGACTATTCATGCTTTATAAATCCCTTATAAATGACAAATAAAGGCTCAGAGTCAAATGAACGATAATCTGTGCAATCTTTCTAAAAAGTAAAATTACTGTAAAGTTTAAACATTGCCAAATAACAGGAGTGTCAAAATATGACATCCAGCTGGATAAAACAACAACAATATAATAATTAAACAATAAAATAAGATGCAATGTTTAAACTCTATAGTGATTTTATTTTAGATCAGCTTGCAAAGATTTATTTTTCTTTTGAAGTACAGTTTCATTTGTGTATCTTTAAATGAATAGGAATGAATAATGCCATTCTTCCTGTTTAAAATTTAACTGAGCCTTTATTTTTCATTTATAAGGGATTTATAAAGCATGAATAGTCCTCACTTTAAATTAGGTCACAAAACTGCATAATGTTGAGGTAATAAAGCATTTATTAACATAAATAGTAAGCATTACTATATGCCTGAATAATAAGACATATAAACGTTGATTTCAATAGTTTATTAATCATTTACTAACTCATTCTGAATGACCCTAAAAACCCTCAACTAATCTTAAATACAAACGGTTTGTAAATAATGTGAAACCTAATTTAGTAATGAAAAATAAATCATTCACTAAGTATGAAAATACGATCATTAAACACATTATATAGGTGCTTATAAGTCAAGAAATGAGCATTTGTAGCTGCAGTTATAAACTGCTTACTAACGCTTATTAATGTAGAGTTAACGCTTAACAGATAATGAATTCACTATTTGCTAATGCTTAATAAATGATTTATAGTGTGTAGTTATTATAAAGTGTTACTGATATTAGTTTATGTGTTTTTTTAAATAAAAAAATCTTACCTCAGACTCCTTGTAGTAGCGTTCTGGGATCTCGTCGTAGGCGATGTCGACAATACACACCTCCGTTTCTTCATCTCTGAGCTCTGTGTCAAAGATCTAGAGAAGATGTAGGAAAATTGATCAACAATGATAATCTACTGTGTACATCTACACCGCAGAAACGTTTTCATCTTGTTTCTAGACCAAATATCTAAAAGCTCTCAAATCAAGAAGCGTTTTCTAGACAAGCACAAAAAAACTTGTCTTGTTTTCAGGAATAACGAGTCAAAATTGAGGGAGTTTTTTTTTTAAATGAGCAAAATAATCTGCCCTTAAGTGGGGTGAGCACAATAGTCTCGTTTTCATTTTGACATATAATTTAGCGCACCGCATTGGCAGATGACTTTGCTTGTTTTAAAGAAAAACTCACTTAATTTTGACTGATTACTTCTAGAAAAAAAAAAACAATACAATTTTTTGCTTGGATAGAAAACGCTTCTTGATTTACGACTAAACATACTGTTGTTATAATTCTTTTCTTGATTTTGAACAACTTTTATTTCATACAAATTGAGTTTGGCAAAAATATACAACAAGAATAATATTTAAACTTAAACTTTAAATAACTTAAAACAATAAAAAATAATAATCTAAAAAAATACAGCAATGACATACACTAACCGGCCACTTTATTAGGTACACCTGTCTAACTGCTTGTTAACACAAATGTCTAATCGGCCAATCACATGGCAGCAGCTCAATGCATTTAGGCATGTAGACATGGTCAAGACGATCTGCTGCAGTTCAAAGCGAGCATCAGAATGGAGAAGAAAGGGGATTTAAGGGATTTTGAACGTGGCATGGTTGCTGGTGTCAGACGGGCTGCTCTGAGTATTTCAGAAACTGCTGATCTACTGGAATTTTCACGCACAGCCATCTCTAGGGTTAACAGAGAATGGTCTGAAGAAGAGGAAATATCCAGTGAGCGGCAGTTCTGTGGGCGCAAATGCCTTGTTGATGCCAGAGGTCGGAGGAGAATGGCCAGACTGGCTCCAGCTGATAGAAAGGCAACAGTAACTCAAATAAGCACTCGCTACAACCGAGCTCTGCAGAAGAGCATCTCTGAACACACAACACGTCCAACCTTGAGGCGGATGGGCTACAGCAGCAGAAGAGCACACCGGGTGCCGCTCCTGTCAGCTAAGAACAGGAAACTGAGGCTACAATTCACACAGACTCACCAAAACTGGACAATAGAAGATTGGAGAAACGTTGCTGCTCTGATGAGTCTCCATTTCTGCTGACACATTCGGATGCTCGGCTCACAATTTGGCGCCAGAACCATGAAAGCATGGATCCATCCTGCCTTGTATCAGCAGTTCAGGCTGGTGGTGGTAGTGTAATGGTGTGGGGGGGGATTTTCTTTGGGCTCATTGGTACCAATTGAGCATCAACGCCACAGCCTACCTGAGTATTGCTGCTGACCATGTCCATCCCTTTATGAGCACAGTGTCTCCATCTTCTGATGGCTACTTCCAGCAGGATAACGCAGCATGTTATAAAGCTCAATCATCTCAGACTGGTGAACATGACGATGAGTTCACTGTACTCAAATGGCCTCCACAGTCACCAGAGCTCAACCCAATAGAGCACCGTTGGGATGTGGTGGAACGGGAAATCGACATCATGGATGTGCCGCCGACAAATCTGCAGCACAGCATGATGCTATCATGTCAATATGGAGCAAAATCTCTGAGGAATATTTCCAGGATCTTGTTGAATCTCTGCCATGAAGGATTACGGCAGATCTGAAGACAAAACGGGGTCCAACCAAGTACTAGTAAGGTGTACCTAATAAAGTGGCCAGTGAGTGTATTCGTCTAATCTACATATACTTTTTAATATCTATCAATTCAACAAAAGAGTCAACATCTAGACTCTCCAAAAAGTCATTAAATACTTTCTAAATAGACCAAAATATACAAATTTTGTTTATAAAAAATAGGTAATACTCTTTATCCAAAGACGTACACCAGGAACTGATGCAACACAATTACATGTTTAGCTTCCAGCAAACTTAATACAATTAACAGCAATCTTTCATCCTTGGTGACTTTCGAGTTCAATAGACACATGCAATATATACAAACTGGGAACAAGAGGAATTACTTAACCTTATATGATTTGACTTGCAATATTCAGTATTTTAACCCAAGGCTTTATAGTTCTTTTGGTGGTATAATTTCTTTACTAAAGCCTACGTTTAATTATTTATATCAATAAATCTTACCAAAAATATATATTTTTTTTGCACTGGCAGATCATTTGGCTTGTTTCTACTGTGTATCTTCTTAAATCAGTCATTTATTTCTTGTGTTTAAGTCAAAATTATTCACCTTGCAGAGAATATATTTCCCAAATGATGTTGAACAGATTCAGGAATTTCTCACAGTATTTCCTCTAATATTTTTTCTTGTGGAGAAAGTCTTATTTGTTTTATTTCAGCTAGAATAAAAGAACATTTTAAGTCTATTTTAAGGTCAATATTATTCGCCCCTTCAGCAATATTAGTGTTGGATTGTCTCCAGAACAAACCACTGTTATACAATGACTTGCCTAATTACCCTAACTTTACCCTAATTACCCTAGTGAAGCCTTTACATGTCACTTTAAGCTGAACACTTCCTTTCGTTAAGCAGAAATCGAGCAAAGAAATAAACAAGAGGGCTAATAATTCTGACTGTATGTGATTATTTCTAGCAGTGTGCAGAGCTGATGCTGTCCACAGGAAGGAGCTCTCGGTCTGTGTGTGCGTCTATGGCAGTGCGTGTGCATTGCATAAGCCGCCGCTCATTGGGAGAGAGCCTAACAAAGACTTTAATGGGCGAGAGAGAGTTTCTCTTCAAAGGATCAGGTGCTTTCAGGTGAGAGAACGGCTCTCCTGTTGTCTGCCACCTGTGTGCCTCTGCCAATTATGTTGTAATTCTTTTCATACCCGACTGACAGTACGCTTCAGGGATGACACGGAGAGAAATGTACAAAACCTCTTTATTTAAAAAAAAAAAAAGGAGAGTGCACTAGCTGCGAGAACAAGAAAAGGATGGGATGAAGTTGTGAAACAATGAATGACATGACAGATAAGTAGATGAATGCTTTTTACAGTAAGGTATGCTGGACTTTTTTTTAAAGTAGCACAGAAAGGAAAATCTGAATACTGGCTCTAACAATTAACACCGACCCTAAAGAAACACTGCATTTTTTTTTTTTGAAAAGGCTTATTTTATAGCTCCTTTACGGTTAAACAGGTGAGTTTTATCATCTATTCAGCAAATCTTTGGGTCTGGCAGAAGCACTATTAGCTTAGCTTAGCATAAGTCATTGAATCGGATTAGACCATTAGCATCCTTATCCAAAAACACAATAGAGGAACATTATTAATATTATTTTTAAATAGGCTCATTTTCAGCTCTCTAGAGGTAATCAGTTCAGATTTGAATCCATACAGCCGGTCTTTGGGAACACTCTTAGCATAGCTTAGCATAAGTCATTGAATCGGATTAGACCATTAGCATCTTAATTAAAAATACAAAAAGGAACATTATTATTATTATTATTATTATTTTAATTTAGGAAATAGGCTCATTTTTACAGCTCTCTAGAAGTAAACAGTTCAGTTTTAAATCCACGCAGCCAGTTTTTGGGTCTGGTGGGATCACTTTTAGCTTAGCTAAGCAAAATTCACTGAATCGGATTAGACCATTAGCATCTTGATCAAAAATGTTAAAAATAAAAACATTTTTAAAAGCTCATTTGAAAGCTCTCTGGATTTTTTTAATCCATTTTGGCAACCTTTATTTTTTTTTTTTGGCTTAGCTTAGCATAAATCATTAAATCGGATTAGACCATTATCATCTTAATTAAAAATGTAAAAAGGAACATAATTGTTATTTTAATTTTGGAAATAGGCTCATTTTACAGTTCTCTTGAAGTAAGGAGTTCAGTTTTGAATGCATTCAGCCAGTCTTTGGGTCTGGTGGAATCACTTTTAGCTTAGCTTAGCTTAAGTCATTGAATCAGATTAGACCATTAGTATCCTGATCCAAAATGTAAACAGGGACATTATTATTATTATTATTATTATTATTATTTTAAATAGGCTCATTTTACAGCTATTTAGTTGTAAACAGTTCAGCTTTGAATCCAAACTGCCAGTCTTTTGGAAATATTTTTAGCCTAGCTTAGCATAAGTCATTAAATCGTATAAGACCATTAGCATCTTAATTAAAAATGCAAAAAGGAACATAAATATTATTTAGGAAATTTTAGGAAATATGCTCATTTTTACAGCTCTCTAGAAGTATACAGTTTAGTTTTAAATCCATGCAGCCAGTTTTTGGGTCTGGTGGAATCACTTTTAGCTTATCTTAGCATAATTCACTGAATCGGATTAGACCATTAGCATCTTGATCAAAAGTGTCAAAAAGAAACTTTTTTAAAGACTCATTTCACAGCTCTCTAGAGTTAAACTGTCTTCCCATTTTAAAATCCATTCAGGCAAACTTCGGTACTGGCGAGAGCACTTTTAGCTTAGCTTAGCTTAAATCATTGAATCAGATTAGACCATTAGCATCCTGATCCAAAATGTAAAAAGGGAACATTAATGATTTTACTTTTTTTTAAAGAGGCTCATTTTACAGCTTTCTAGAGGTAAACAGTTCAGCTTTGAATCTTTACAGCCAGTCTTTGGGTATGGTTGGAACACTTTTAGCTTAGCATAAGTCATCGAATCGAACAGACCATTAGCATCCTGATTAAAAAAATGTAAAAAAGAACATTATCATTATTATTATTATTATTGTTATTATTATTGGGAATAGGCCGATTTTGCAGCTCTCTAGATGTAAACAGTTTCAGTTTTGAATCCATACAGCCAGTCCTTGGGTCTGGCGGGAGGACTTTTTGATTAGCTTAGCATAAGCCAAAATATCGGATTAGACCGTTAGGCTCCTGATCAAAAATGTAAGAAGGAACATTATTATTATTTTTATTCAGGAACTAGGCTCATTTTACAGCTCTCTAGAGGTAATCAGTTCAGTTTTGAATCCGTTAACAACCGG